AGGCAGACACTTAACCAACTGAGCCACCCAAGAGCTCCTATATTTTGTAAATTTATCTATGATATGTCTTTGGTGTTGGCCTGCTTTTGTTTATTTTGATGGGAGTTCTCTGTGCCTCCTGGATTTGGATGTTTGTTTCCTTCGCCAGATTAGCAAAGTTTTCAGGTATAATTTCCTTAAAAACACCTTCTAACCACTCCCCCCCTTTCCTCTCTTCTTCTTCTTCTGGGACTCCTATGATATGAAAGTTATTACACTTGATGGAGTCACTGAGTTCTGTTAAGTCTATTTTCATTATCAAATACTTTTCTTTCCCTCTTCTTTTCACCTACATTACTTTCCATAATTCTATCTTCTATATCACTTATTTATTCCTCTGCTTCTTCTGTTCTTGTGGTCATTACAAGGGTGCCTGGGTGGCTGAGTCAGTTAAGTGTCTGCCTTCAGCTCAAGTCATATCCCAGGGTTCTGGGATAAAGCCCCACATCAGGCTCCATGCAGGGAGCCTGTTTCTCCCTCTCCCTCTGCCTGCTGCTCCCCTTGCTGTGCTCTCTCTCTCTCTCCTTCTCTCTCTCTGTCAAATGAATAAATAAAATCTAAAAAAAAATTCAAAGTAGTGGTCATAAAGATGCTTACCAAACTCAGTAGAAAAATTGATGAACATAGTGAGAACTTCTATGGAAATAGAAAATATAAGAAAATTCTAAACAAAAGTTACAGAGTTGAAGAATGTAATAACTGAACTGAAAAAAAAAACACACTAAAAGGGTTCAACAGCTGAAGACTGGATCAGCAAACTAGAAGACAAAGCAATAGAACTTGCCCAGACACAGCAGCAAAAAGAAAAAAAGAAATCAGAACTTCTAGAAGCCTAATGTAGTGGGGAATGTGCCTGGCTTAAAAGTGCTCAGGTGATGAAGTGGGGTGGAACCCCAGGTGTGACAGCATGGTTGGAGGATTTCTAGGGTTGCAAGAAGATTGAGTGGTACCTGAGTGTGGTAGAGTTACCAGGCATAAGAGTAGGGAAGCCAGTTGAGAACAGCAAGCCTAGGTGCCAGCTTTCTGCTCTGTGTTGCCATAAACTGCAAACCACTGCACAGACATGCAACCATTTTCCTGGGTGGTGTCCAGAAAAAGGCAGAAGTGCGGTGAGACACCCTCCTTCCCAGGGAGGAATAGTGAGGATTGGAGCCTTGGGAGTCTGTTATATTTGGAGTTTTGAAAGTCGGTCATGTGCCTGAGATAAAAATGCTTGGTCATAGGCCGGGTGAATACAGAGTTCGGAGGAAAACCGGGGAGAAAAAAAGTGATTGACTGTAAACTATTCTGAAAAGTAGAAATGGAAGGAAAACTTCCAAACTCATTCTATGAGGCCAGCATTACCTTAATCCCAAAACCAGACAAAGACCCTACTAAAAAGGGGAATTACAGACCAAATCCCTGATGAAGATGTATGCAAAAAAATCTCAACAAGATACTAGCTAATAGGATTGAAGAGTACATTAAAATGATTATTCATCACAACCAAGTGGAATTTATTCCTGGGGTGTAGGGGTGGTTCAATATTTGCAAATCAATCAATGTGATACACCACATTAATAAAAGAAAAAATAAGAATTATATCATCCTCTGAATAGATGCAGCAAAAGCATTTGACAAAATACAGTATCCATTTTTATAAAAACCATCAACAAAGTAGTGATAGAAGGAACATACCTTAATATCATACATGCCATATATGAAATACCCACAACTAATATCATCTTCAATGGGGAAAAAACTGAGAGCTTTTCCCCTAAGGTCAGGAACAAGATAGGAATGCCCACTTTCACCATTGTTATTTAACGTAGTACTGGAAGTCCTAGACTCAGCACTCAGACAACAAAAAGAAATGAAAAGCATTCAAATCCACAAGGAAGAAGTCAAAATTTCACTATTTACAGACAATATGATACTCTATGTAGAAAACCCAAAAGACCACCAAAATTTGCTGGAATACAGGAATTTAGCAAAGTTGCAGGATACAAAATCAATGCAAAGAAATCAGTTGCATTTCTGTAGACTAACAGTGAAGCAGAAGAAAGATTTCAAGGAATCAATTCCATTCACAATTGCACTGAAAACCGTAAGATACCTAAGAATAAACCTAACCAAAGAAGTACAAGACCTGTACTCTGAAAACCATAGAATACTTATGAATGAAATTGAGGAAGACACAAAGAAATGGAAAAACATTCCATGCTCATGGTTTGGAAGAACAAATATTGTTAAAATGTCTACGCTACCCAAAGCAATCTACACATTCAATGCAATCCCTATCAAAATACCAAAGCATTTTTTACAGACCTGGGACACACAGTCTTAAAATTTGTATGGAACCAGAAAAAAAACCCGAATAGCCAAAGTAATTTTGAAAAAGAAAAACAAAGTTGGAGGCATCACAATTCCAGACTTCAAGCTCTATTACAAAGCTTTAATCATCAAGACAGTATGGTTCTGGTATAAAAACAGACACATAGATCAATGGAACAGAATAGAGAACCCAGAAATGGACCCTCAACTCTATGGCCAACTAACGTTTAACAAAGCAGGAAAGAATATGTAATGGAAAAAATAGTCTCTTCGACCAATGGTGTTGGGAAAATTGGATAGCCACACACAGAAGAATCAAACTGGACCACATTCTTACATGATACACAAAAATAAACTCAAAAAGGATGAAAGACTTAAATGTGAGACAGGAATCCATCAAAATCCTACAGGAGACCAAAGGCAACAACCTCTTTGAACTTGGTCACAGAAACTTCTTGCTAGACATGTCTTCAAAGTCAAGGGAAACAAAAGCAAAAATGAACAATTGGAACTTCATCAAGAGAAAAAGCTTGGGGCGCCTGGGTGTCTCAGTGGGCTAAGCTTCTGCCTTCAGCTCAGGCCATGATCTCAGGGTCCTGGGATTGACACCCACGCCAGGCTCTCTGCTCAGCGGGGAGCCTGCTTCCCCCACTCTCTCTCCCTGCCTCTCTGCCTACATGTGATCTCTCTCTCTGTCGAATAAATAAATAAAATCTTGTAAAAAAAAACTTGCAGTTACGTTTAAAGGATTCTCAGAGTTTATTAAACTTGGAAAATAACATCCAGAGAAAAAGAGAAAAAAGCCTAGATTCACTTAAAGATGAGAGACTCTAATATGAAGAACTGTTACTTTGAGTAGTTCACAAAACAATTCATTGGAATGCAGAAAGACAACATTGAGACAAAAATGTATTTATTTTTTCTCATTCCTTTTAAATTTCTGTATTGGAATATTTTAATGTATATGTATTATAATGTATCTATAATGTAATGTATAAAATATATATACAAAGTAGTACGTGTATATAACCTATAAATACATATACATATATTGGGACCCATGCTCAAATGTTTTCTTTTATTACAGATAAGAATGTGTGAGTAAAAAATTGATTTAGAGGATTAAGTACATTTCTTTATCAGAAGTGTGTTTTAGGGTGTTTGTGGGGGCGGCAGGACTTGTGTAAGTAGAAGCACAAGGGATTCAATTAAATCCACTCATTTTATTTTAAAATAACAATAACTGATTATATAACATTCATTCATATAAAAAAATTTCTGATCATGTCCTATGTAATAAACATTGACCTAGGCTCTGAGGATATGATGGAAAATCTGAACAGTCACAATCCTTGACTTTATGGTAAAACATAGTTTAGTGGAGAAAGGCAGTTGTCAATCAAATAATAATACATTTAAATATCTCATCATAGGGGCGCCTGGGTGGCTCAGTGGGTTAAAGCCTCTGCCTTCAGCTCCGGTCATGGTCTCAGGGTCCTGGGATCGAGCCCCGCATGGGGCTCTCTGCTCAGCAGGGAGCCTGCTTCCCCTCCTCTCTCTGCCTGTCTTTCTGCCTACTTGTGATCTCTCTCTGTCAAATAAATAAATAAAATATTTTTAAAAAATATCTCATCATAAATTTACACATATTAGGAAGGAAAAGTACAGCAGGCTGGCTATAGGGGGCCACCAGAAAAGAAATCAGGGCACTTTCTCTATTCTGGGGCTATTGAGAAAGGTTACCTTGAGGAAGTGACAGTTAACCTGAGGCCTGTGAGACTGACTGAGTGGTTGACTTGTGAAGAGATAGAGTGGCCCAGGTGGAGGGAGAGCATATGTGAGAGCCCTGAGGGTACACATGGTGAGTGAGGGCCAGTGCCACACAGGCACAGGTTCTCATACATCAGAGAAGCTTTGGAGATGGATCTGCCTAACAGAGAGTCAGAGTGCAAGCTAAATGACCCCAGGAGCTCCATCCTCTTTTGCTTTCAGGGGAAAAAAAAAAATCACAAACTAGTTGAAGGTACCAGAGGGCCACAGGAGACAAGGAACTGGCTGGATGGCTAAGGACAATTGGAACACTGTGCTCTACCCCAGCAGCATGTCCAGAAACCTCAGGTAATACTCTCTGTGTGGCCGTCTAGAAAGGTAACTGTTAAGATTAAAGAGCAGCGTGTCTTTCAGGCCTGAGCTTTCCATGTGAACCTTTCTGTTTGGATTGCCAAGAGAATTTTATGAGCTGTGCCCAGCTAGAGGGCCTAGTAATGCGCTGAAATCATGGATTTCCCTGAGTTATTTGAAACCTGAGGATGTGGTATCCTCTGCAAAAGCAGAGGGTCTGGAGGAAAGGTAAATGAGGCAGGCTGAAGGGTAATTGCGGGAAATGGGGCCGTGGCCCCAAACAGCAGAGGAGCTAAGTGGAAGAGCAATATTTGTCGGTGCACTGTCATTGTGCCTACTAATCAGAGAAGAGGGGCGAGGACAAGGGAGGCCAGGGTTGGACCTTGAGCATGAAAGAAGAGCGAGCGGGCCAGGTAGCGCTCTCGACACGCGAGGACCGAAGGCCCCGTGGCCGCGTCTCCAGTTCCAAGAAGGGGGCACAAGGAGGCGGCGCGGGCCCCGCCCCCTTCCCTGGCGGGCGCGGGCGCGAGACGCTGCGCGGCGGCGGTGGCGGGCGCGAGCGGCAGCTGTCAGGCCACCGAGGTCCGAGCTGCTCTAGCTGCCTCACCGAGGACGAGGAGGCAGCGGGAGCGGTGACCGTGTCACTGAGGAGCCGGACTGCAGGCACGCAGAGCTGACCTGCCTGGTACCCGCGGCCCCCTCCCATCTCTCTCCCATTGTATTGGGTAAGGTGCGGGTGCGTGGGCAGGGAGAGGGGCTGGCGGCCAGTGGACGCGGGAGGCCGGGAGGTGGGGGCCCTGTGGGAAGAAGGAGAAAAGGAGGTCTAGGTGAGCCGCCCCCCCCCCCAGGCATTTGCACCTTGGGAAAGAGGCCTAGGCACTGCAGGGGTCGGAGTTGGGGGGGGGAAGGTGACGATGGAGGGGGGCGTTGCTGAGTAATTCCGAGCGGCTGCCAAAGCCCCGCAGATAGATGCAGGGCTCCATGGGGAACGGGTGTGGCTCAGTGCGCATGCGCCACAGCCGCTTGTTCTGAGAGATGTGAATGAGGTGGGATGACCCGGGTCCGAGGTAGTTGGAACTGTGCGTAACATCTCACTTTCTAGATCCCCAACAGTAACCTGTCCTGGAGATGACAGCATTCCCAATCTCCTAAGGAAGATTCTTACCCCTGTGCTCTACTCCATGTCACCCAACCCTCACTAGCTGTTTTCTGGCAGTCTATTTGGGAAGAAGTGGCCCTGCGACAGGGCCAAATTGCTATCTAGTGTGCTTATAGCCCTAGAGTTGCTGTTGTGAGAAGTGAAAAATTAGAGGTGAAATTCCACATTGAACCCTTCTGGTTGCATATAGAATATAAATATGGTCATAAATGTGGGAATAGCGTTTCAGAGGCGTGACAGCTGTGGCATTTGGACTCAGAGCAGGAATGTAGCTGATAGCTTGTTTGCTCTACACAATGAATTCAGTGTGTCAGAGGGCTTTCCCCGCTACAGAACCCTCCCCCATCCCACGAACAAGCATCAGGTTGTACTGGAAACAACCTACACCATTTAAGGTAGAGGGTCTCAAAGATGCAATCATTTCTTATTTGTATCGATTTTTACGTAAGTTAAAGAAAGCCCTGCCCAGTTCTCCAGTACAGTATTTTTCAAATATTGTGCCAGGAATCACAGTGAGTTGGGTAGCCCAACCAGTGTGTCACCAAGATAGGCTTTCCCTGTAGCTTCAACCATGGCTCCTCCCCTGTGCAGATTACCACCAGGGCCACTCTCATCCACTGCCTAGCTCTCCCCTGCTGCTCTTCCCCTACCCCCAGCCCTGCAGTACCACATCCCTCTCAACACTTACTCCCAAATAAACTGTCCTATGGATTTGAGCATCATTCCACCCATGGCAACTGAACTGATGCCAGTTTGCTTTTCTATTTCTCTTCTCTCCATCATCACACTAAAATGTTCTGTTTGCAAAGCTTCAACCTCTTTCTCGTCATTGTACTGCTTCCTTCCACACTCCCCCCACACACACACACACTCCTAAGCATCCCCAAAGAAATACAATAATTTTAATAAGCTGTGTGGATGCAGGCACAGCAGATTCAAAAGGTTTCAAATGTGTTGAAGAACAAAGAAAACTAGGGAATATCGGTTATGTGAATTTCTAATTTAACTTATTGTCTGAGACTTAGACTCTAACTGAAGAAAAAAGTGAATATACTAGTCTTCGAAATTTCTTGTTAATTGTGGGAAGTGGGATAAGAAAGGGGAATTGCATCTCTAGGATATTTGAGTTGTTTAAAGGCAGATCTTTCTCTGAATAGCACTAAAATTAGAGTAAACATTTTACTCAAAATCCTACACTGATATGGGACGTAAACAGGATGCATAAAGGATTTGACTTTCCGTTAAATGTACTTAGGGTTATCAAAGAATTCCATTGCCTCCTTAATGCTATCTTCTTTTAAGGTTTGACTTTAATCTGGCATATTTTGGGGAATAAAAAAATTTTCAATTTGCTTTCATACTGTGCTAGTCCTTTTTGAGTACGTACTAAAGGATATCACACTTATTTTCAAGTAATGATAATGACGATGGGAATGGCAGTATCCACTGAAAACATAACGTGGAGATAATTATACTGTTCTTATATTTGGTGGGGATGGAGAAATTTATGTATTCATCTTAAAAATGTAGGGGAGGGGGAGGGAAACTAGCACATTGCCACTGACTTTCAACAGGTGAAATTCCTGTTAAGTCCCATCTAGAAAGTGAGCCAGATAAGTCCATAACTTCTGCTCTTTAGTCACAAGTAAATCATAGTATTTGGACATCTTACAGAACTGCAGATCTCTTGTACCTTGGCGTTTATTCAGAGGCATTAGTTTTGAGCACCCACCTAAACTGTTAATTAGTAAGCAAATATTATTGATTATCCATGTGAGGGATACACTTGCTGCATGCTGGAAGGGCTTCAAAGACGTATACAAACAGGTTTTACCATCCAGGAATTTAAAAATTTGGTTGTGTAGGAAAGACATACTTAGGGGGGAAAAAGGTTTTTAAACAAAACAAGATAGTATAACGATACCATTTCAACTGTAAATCATGAGATCTGAAGCTTATACGTTAATTCATAAATTCCTTGAGGGTAAGACCTTGCCTTAAAAATGTATGCATTTCCAACAGTGTCTACACCCAATGGGTGCTCAAGTGATGAAACTTTGCAAAGGAGGTAGGGAGAAACCTGTGGCAGGGAGAGAAGAGCCAGGAAGTTTTCACAGTAGATTAGATAGATGAAAGATTAGATGTGGGCCAAAGCAGGGATGGTTGCAGAGGACTGGGAAAAAATAGGAAAGAAGAGGATTTAGTGACTGAAGGCAAGGAGACCTGTCTAAAGTGTATTCAATTTTACTTTCAGGAAACAAATGGGAGTTGGAGACAGTGAAGGAGAGCAGAGGGTTACCTTGGTAAGGACAGAGCACAATAGGCACTCAAATGTTTTCTCAGTAATCAGTAGCAGGATTGGACAAGAAGATCCTTTCGTCCCTCCAATGCTGAGATTCTGTGGTGTATGAAGATACTCAAAATTGTTGGGGAACAAAGCCCTCTCAGATATTGAAGAAAGGGAAGAGGAAGAATTGTGATCTTCTTACTGGCAGGCCTTTTCTGAGAAGGGTTAATACTGAGTCACAAGGCCCCAACAGTGAATGAAAAGAGGTAGAAGAGCAAGAGGAACAAAAATCTCAAATCAAAAATTTCAACACATGCTTACAAATCTTCACAAACTTCATAAGTTATTCATTTTCCCCTAAATCCTGTGATTTAAGTAAGGCAGGTATTATCAGCTCTGTATTTATATAGGAAGATATTGGGAAAAAAGCAAGATTAAATAACCTGTTCAAGTTCACAAAATAAATGAATGGCATAGTATAGTAGTGATGAAGACTTTTGTTTCCTGATTGCTGCCGACCAGTGCACTTGACATGGAGCCACACTGCTTTTCCTTCCTTTTCCCTGGTGTAGAGCCTATATACCCAGAAGTTGTATGTGCAAATGACCAAATAGGGAATGCACAAACAACTGCAGCATTATCTCAGATGGTTATTAATACTTCGTCATTATTCCTGAGTTGAGTATTTGGTTTCCACATTCACTCAGTCCTTGATGCATCATTTGAGTTTATCCACAGCCGGGAAAGTAGGGTTAGTGAGTTGTTTAATGAGGTGAACAACTGTTTGCCAGGAACTTAAGGAAGATCATTCGGCACAGGCCCTTAATACTACCAATACTGTTACCCAAGTTTGTACTCCCTCTGTTCCTTTTTTAAGTGAGCAGTCTGCAAAATTATCCTATAGACCAGTATAAAGAATAAAGAAGTGTGCTAATGTTTGTTTCATCTCCATTTAAAGAAATGTTTGTTACTTGAGCTAGTTCCAAAGACAGCAATTTGAGAGCAGGAAAAAGGACAAAAATCAGTAATGGTAGAAAACTCAAAAATTTTTTGGAGTAGATATAGACCAAGAAAGAGGATAAACCCTATCATTTTAGAAGACATTATTTAAATTCATAATTACTGATTTAGGTCTCTAATGAATTCCTTATTATATGCTTTATCTATATTTGAAAAAAATCACAAGATTATTAGGCAATAGAGATTTCTTATGGTCTTCTTTATTCCTCAGTAAGAAAGAATGCTCAACAAATCTAAGAACTGTTTTTCTCTTTAGAGCAGCACTTTTGATGCTGCTTAAATAACATTCTTACCATAATTAACTATAATGTTAAGTGAAGTTTTGTTTTAATTTAATAAAGCCAGCTAAATACTAAAACCTGTGTTCGAGACAGATGATCAAAATTAATGAGTAAAATAATTAGCCAAGAGAATACATTGTAAACAGGGAATCTCCAAACATAATTATCTTGTCTCTGATCTTGTGGAATCAATTTCAGAGACAACCTCAAGGCAGATTGGTGAATGCATTAACAACTTGCTTGGAGATAGGAACATTGGTAGACATAAAGGGAAGGAGTTTCATCTCTGACTTAGGATTTCAACACGTCTTGGACTCCTCTGTGCTTTCCCTTTCCTGAATATTACCTATTGTCAATATCATCTACTTTCTTTTTTTTCTAAGATTTTATTTATTTATTTGACAGAGATCACAAGTAGGCAGAGAGGTAGGCAGAGGGGGGCGGGGGGAGGCAGGCTCCCTGTGCGGGATTCAATCCCAGGACCCTGGGATCATGACCTGAGCCGAAGGCAGAGGCTTTAACCCACTGAGCCACCCAGATGCCCCTCGTCTACTTTCTTTGACTATATTTACTTTGAATGAAGAGTTCAATGGAGGGACAATATTAAACTTTAAAAATCATATGAAGTACACTCATTAGGACAAGTTAAAATTTTTGTAATAATATTATTTTGTCCATGTTAAGCATTTGTAGCCTTTTGAACTCTTGAGTATATTTGTGAAAAGCATCCTCTACAGGTAAGTTGAGGTGGGTCTGTTTCTTTCCTGACTTGAGTAGATTTATATATAGCCTTAACTTTGTTTTATTATAGATATTTAATAATAATGTTTCCCAATCCATTTTCTAGAACCCTAAAAAGAAAGAATAAAACAACAACAAGGAAAAGAAAGGACTAAAATTGTGGCAACGACCCAACTGGGTAGGTATATATATATTTTTTTTTTCATTTGATCTCTTAAAAAGGAATATTTAGAAAAATATGTAATTATTACACATACACGAATATAATACTAAGGACTAATGAGGTTTTTTTAAATTACATTTTGAATGTGTGTGCTTCCAGAAGCTCTTTTGCATGTGCTCTTTTGATTAGCAATTGGTTTTCATCTCTTTGGGTCTCTTGCATAAATAACACCCAATTAGCATCATCATTGTTTTGTTCCCACAATGGACCTAGTGTGAAAGTACTTAACAAAATCCAGTACCAGTTAGTTGTTCAGTAAACATTTTATCTTTTTATTTTAAGATGCATTTTAGATATTCCATGTACAGACATGTTGTGAAGGTAACAAGAAGGGTACTGCATAGTTATTAGCACTTTAAAGTTTACAGTCTATCTTCATTAGTGCCATTATGGAATTAGAACTAAAATCTAAAAATTAATAAGCTATTTAAGATTTTTTTCCTTACTGATAGCTATTATAATGATACCAGTCAACAATCATCAATTTACATGTCATTGTTCTGTGAAGAAAAAATTCTGGGAGATCCTTTATTTGTGCCGGTATCCATATCAATGCAAATATAATGAAGCAAACTCCTGAAGAAACTTGACCTTTATCTCTCTTCCAAGTTCTGGTGTCCAGTTTAATTGTAGCCCCAAACTCTACTGACAGAATTAAAATTTCAACTTATACAGCTTTCTCTCTCAATAATTCTTGGGTCCATCATGAATAGAATTCAAACTCCAAATCAATTTTGTACTATTTGCCTCTTGTTTGGAACTGTCAAACTGGAAACCAATAATATGGTTCCACATCTGAGGGGTATTCCTGTTTTAGGCTCTCTCCTCTAGAATAGGGTCAGAACTGAACCAAATTATAGCACCATCTGCTAGTCCATTTACCCATGGCATTCAGCCATTTTCCTGGCACAGGCAAAAGACCTCAGAAAAACAAGACCTATTTTCCCTTGTGCACAAACGGATTCTATTCCCTCTGCTGTACTATCTAGTTAGTGAGCATGAATCAAGAGAGATTAAATTAGTAGGCCATCAAATTCAGAGAATTTTCTATGAAGCTGATTTTGGTTTCAGGTTTAACTGTTTTCCCTCCTACTTTTTCTTTTATTTTCAGGTTCTCTTGGTTATAAACTCCTCCCCATCTGGTGCTGCAACAATGAGTGGGAAATCCTTGCTCTTAAAGGTTATTCTCTTGGGTGATGGTGGAGTTGGGAAAAGCTCGCTTATGAACCGTTATGTAACCAATAAATTTGACTCCCAGGCATTTCACACCATAGGGGTAGAGTTCTTAAATCGAGATCTGGAGGTAGATGGACGTTTTGTAACTCTCCAGATCTGGGACACTGCAGGGCAGGAGCGTTTCAAGAGCCTTAGGACACCCTTCTACAGGGGAGCAGACTGCTGCCTCTTGACCTTCAGCGTGGATGACCGACAGAGCTTTGAGAACCTTGGTAACTGGCAGAAAGAATTCATCTACTATGCAGATGTGAAAGACCCTGAGCACTTCCCCTTTGTAGTTCTAGGTAACAAGGTAGACAAAGAGGATAGGCAAGTGACTACTGAGGAAGCACAAGCCTGGTGCATGGAGAATGGGGATTACCCTTATCTAGAAACAAGTGCCAAAGATGATACTAATGTGACAGTGGCCTTTGAAGAAGCTGTCAGGCAGGTGTTGGCTGTAGAGGAACAGCTGGAACATTGCATGTTGGGTCACACTATTGACTTGAACAGTGGCTCCAAAGCAGGATCCTCATGCTGTTAAAAGCAGGCAGCCTTTTAAAAGTGTGCCACAAATTGTTCAGTCAATAGTGTCAGAATAACTGTGCCCCTCTGAGAGGGCACACACACAAAAGGGTAAGAGAGAAGGTTGTGATTGTGTATCAGGGCCTTTCAAATTGAGGTTGTAAGAGCAAGTAAAAAAAAAAAAAAAAAAAGCTTTACCAAGCCAAGTGTATTTTGCGTGATTTCTGCTGTTTCCTTCTTGTGTGTATCGGGACATTTCAGAAAGATTCAGTCCTGAGAGATTTAAATATTTTCAAATCCAGTTTAAACTTAGAACCCAGCAGCATGAAGGAGTTAAAGAGCTACAGATATCCCTTAAAGTGTTCCATTAGTCAACTAACAAATGTCACCTTGGACTCTTGGCAAGCAGTTTCTGACATTTCTGCTAAAGGAAGAAAAAATAAGACTGAGCTGTATTACAATAAAAAAATAATAATGCAAACAAGGATGTCCTAAGCTTCAATTATAAAAGGGTTGTGATAATTAGGCGTATAAGAGTATAATGACATACACTGCCTTGTTTGAATCCTTATATATGGTTTGCTTCCATTTGAACTTTTCAAAAAAATTATCTCAATAAGAGGTACACTGATGACACTGGAAATTGATTATACTCTTTGTGTTTGAAGAAATAGGGTATTAGTGAATGGATTATGCTTAAATATGCCAACCACCCTTGCAAATAAATGTTTGGTCTGCTTTTACTTCATAAGTCTACTTTTGCTGTATAGGGATGTTGCTTCTCTGACAACCTCTTATCAATTTAGCAATGCTGCTTAGTATATGGCTTTGGATACAGTGCTCTCTGCTCATAATTTTGATGGCCCTTTGTTCCACTGTGCTCTGCTCTCAGAGAAATCTTCAGAAAAGATTGGGGGATGATGGGCTTTTCTCACAAGGTTCCTTAACACAAATATTTATTATAGGAACTAATTATAGGAACTAATATCTTGTATGTTGCACTGTATGTTCAACTGGCCAAACTAAGACACTGAAAGTAGCAAGAGAGCAGACTTTAACCCAATGATAGACTGAATTTCTCATAGAGTTGTCCAACAGTGGAATGGACTGCCTTAATAATGAACTCCCTTCCAATGAAAATATTCAAGAAGATACTAGATGAGCATCTGTTAAAATACCATAAAAAGAATTTCTGTCCTGGCTAGATAATTTGGTTTAAGGTCCCTTCCAGCTCTAAGTTCTATGAACCTGCAAGTTACAAAATATGTTTCAGTGCCAGGATATCACTGGATGTTTCTTAAGACAACAGCTAAGACTTTGGAGAGGGACTTTTAAAATTCTCAAACTATTCTGGGATCAGCATTTAATAGTAATTACACAGCTCTTTCTTTTGCACCATAGCAGGATAAATTCTTGAGCTTTGAGTAGCCATTATGCACCCTGGTATAAATATCCTAAAAATACCATATTAAAATACAAAAATGGTTTATCAAATCTTTATTACCATGACTGCTAGCTATATACTGTATTACAAATATGCAGTCTGGTTCTTGTTGGTTGAACTGTTTGTCCTGCAAAGCTTTAAATCCGTACTTTTAAAATATCTATGTTAAAAAATAGTGACCCAAGGTGACTCCTTGGTGACTCCTCCCCCCCCTCCCCCAAAAGAGACAGAGGCCGGGGAAGAAGCAGGAGCTTTCACAGGAATATAGCCTAGAACTCTCCATTGTAGCCACATATGGAATCAGCCTTACACGTGGGACCTTATGTGCTTTAAGAGCTCTGGGACTTTTTGGCTACATAGACAAGTGGAAGACAGTATCTCATCCCAGTCATCCTCAATATTTCCCATTTAAATATAGTCCTGACCCCATTGTCAAAGTAATTTCAATGCCAGAAGTCAAAGCCAGAACTGGGACCCCACAGCTCTTAAGTATTGGTCCCTATCCTGCCTATGCCTATAGCCAGCCACACTCGTTTCCAAGTTCTATGACTGTTTTGCTACAATCATGTTAGGGTAAAAATCTGGACATCAGAACTGTTAAAAGTTAATTGTTTTTAAGTGCATGAGACCTGGGGCCTTCTCTTTCTACTTGCATTCTGCTTATAATAGTTCTATTTGTAGATCTCAGGCTTACATGAAGACCTCCATCCACTCACAAAAGTACTTGTCACTATTAGAATGGCATGTGGTCATTTAAGTAAAAAAATTACATGGGTATCCTATTCATAGACCTCCTGTCTAACCAAGGCAAGTGTTAATTTTAATGACAGGTCATCTGAAGCCCCTTTCCTCTGAGCCATACCAGTTTTCTCTGCCAAATCACTACACAATATCCCAATGAAAACAGTTAACATTACATGACAAAAAACAGTGGCATTTTTGGTGAGTAACACTCAGTGGGGTGCTGACATAAGTTTGGGTAAGATTATAAAACACCAAAGGCTGAAATCTGTGAGTACCAGGAACTGTGCTTATAGGCTTAGAAATTATATACACTAGAATGTGCAGTGCAATATTTTCGAAAGTTTTTTTTTAATGAACACACTGGATTTTTTGAATAAGATATTTCTAACTGGAGCTATACTGTTTTTCAACAGTCCATTAAAACATCATAAAGAATATTTATTTAGTTTATTGTCATGTATTGAGCTAAATTTAAGGGGCCTCAGATTCCATATGTCTTCAGTGGATTGATGAATTTCAGGTTAATTTGTGCCTGCCTCAGCCATCTCTACTTTACCTTGAGGTGTTCCACAATCCTCTTGTTGCAGGTGCTGCTAAAAACTCGAAATTGTGTATCAGATATTTTGTTTCAGCTGTAAAAAAAAAATCATCTGTGTTAAAGTGAATAAAAAGTGCATTTTGAATAACCAGTATACAATGTTTGTGCTTCTTCTCTCCCTTTCTCTTTTTGAGCAACTGGTGGGCATGACAGACAGTACTTACCAATCAAATCGCTCTTCGAGACTACACTGCATGTGGCCTCTGGATCATGTTTTCACCGTGGTACCCCAAGCAGCTGCAACCCAGTGATCAGAGAGATAGGTTCCACTGATTGGGAAACAAGCTCAAAAGATTAAGGTGGGGAGGTGCCTTTTATTTTATGTCACTTTTTAATGCATGAAGAACACTGAGACTGGAAATTGGATCTTGACTTTCCAATTTACTTCTTCATTGTAATTTAAAACAAATGTTAAACCATCACAAAATATAACAGAGTATACATATTCCTTTTATCTTCTTGGCTGATATACTGTCCAGATCTTAGGAAAACATGAAAATATGGGTGAAACAAATCAGGAAACAAAGGATAATTTTGTTAAATAACTGTTCTCTTGCTTCTCACATACTGGACTTTAAAGATACTTGCATTACCATCAAATGGCTTGAATAGCCATAATGGTGACTTTTAAATTATGGGCATATGTCTCTCTGCAGCACATAATTTCATTACATTGGTTCCATCTGTCACAGACTTAGACTTCTTCTCCCATTCCTCTACTTTTGCCTATCGGGACTCTGGGCAATTGAAATCACAGGAGGGAAAAGCAGATTTTTTTTTTTGCCACATATATTTTTCCCATCTCTGAGGATAAATATTTAATAAATTATCAGACCATGCTTCAAATACAGAACCTGGAATCCTTTTGATCAGGCTATAATGATACAGCTTTTAGGCTATAATAGATCAGAGATTTATAAGCCTCTTAAAAAGGATTTGCTTATCCTAAACTGATATTTTCAAAGCAGAAAACTAGCTTTCTGTCTTTGCTGTTTTTCTGCTTGATTCATAATCCACTGGGAAATCTCCTTCTCTGGATATCTTAAATAGTATAGCTTTTCATTTTTTTGGAAATAGTTTGGCTATGATCCTTCCAGGAAGTGGAAGGTGTGGAATAGATGAGTTTCTTTTCAATTTTATAATTGAATTTAAAAACACACTGGAAAATCAAGGCAGTGATTTGAGTAAGGTCAAGATGGGAGCTGGGATGGGCATCTCTACTTTCATTTAATTACCTGCAGTAATTCTAATTGCAGTAAATTTTTTTTGCCTCAGTAATCCCGATAGGCATTTCACTTTTTTTCTCTCCCTGTTACAGAGATATAGAATTCATTACAGTGGAGTGCTTTTCTTACACTTCATTTAAGGTCAGATAAACTCTGATATATCTTTTGATGAAATGTTAATTTATTTTTTCAAAATTGGTCTTTTTGGGGCTCCTGGGTGGCTCAGTCAGTTAAGTGTTTGCCTTTGGCTCAGGTCATGATCTTGGGGTCCTGGAGTCAAGTCCCCCACACCCCAGTTGGGCTCCATGCTCAACAGGGAGCCTGCTCTCCCTCTACCTCTGCTCCTTCCCCCCCACTCACACGTGCTTTCTCTCTCTCTGTCAAATAAATAAATAAAACCTTACCAAAAAGGTCTTTTTTTCCTCCTGCTTTTATTGAAGTATAATTGACCAATAAAAATTGTATATATCTATTTATCCAGAGGATACAAACATAGTGATTCAAATGGGCACCTGCACACCAAAGTTTATAGCAGCAATGTCCACAATAGCCAAAATATGGGAAGAGCCCTAATGTCCATCGACAGATGAGTGGATAAAGAAGATGTGGTGTGTGTGTATATATATATAATGGAATATTACTCAGCCATCAAAAAGAATGAAATCTTGCCATTTGCAACAATGTGGATGGAACTAGAGGGTATTATACTAAGCAAAATAAATCAGCCAGAGAAAGATAAATATCATATGATTTCACGCATATGTGGAACTTAAGAAACAAAGCAGATGATCATAGGGGAACAGAAGGAAAAATAAAGTAAGATGAAATCAGAGAGGGAGACACACCATAAGAGACTCATCCTCTAGGAAACAAACTTGGGGGTTGCTGGAGGGGAGGTAGCGGAGACGGCATAACTGGGTGATGGATATTAAGGAGGTCACTTGATGTAATGAGTACTGGGTATCATGTGGAACTGATGAATCACTAAACTCTATCTCTGAAACTAATAATATACTATATGCTAATTAAATTTATTTTTAAATTTTAAAAACATTGTATATATTTAAGGTGTTCAATTTGATATATATATCAAATTTGATATATTTGATCAATTTGATATATATCAATTAGATATATATCACATATATATGTGTGTAACATTTTGATATATACAATTTGATATATATCTATCAATTTGACAATTTTATATATATATATATATATATATATACACACACACACACACACACACTCACTGTGAAATCATCACCACAATCAAGCTAATCAACATATCCATCACATCAGGTGAGGTTTTTTGTTTGTTTTTTTTGTTTTTTGCTGTCTTTTTAATTATTTCAGGTTACCTTCACCAATGAAGTCCTCATTCTTTACTCCTTTCTCTTTAAGAGAAGGAAGAAATAATGATAGAAGCTAGGTATATTTCAAGAATGAAAGAAATGTTTAAATGTCCCTTCACTGATATGTTTCCAAAAATGTTGAACAAGGATCTGACTTTTATATTGCTGGTAGAGGTGGTGATGTTTGTGTGAGGTTTTTTTGAGGGGGTGAAAAGTTACTAAAGTGCTTTCAGTAAGAATAAGCAAGCATCTTCACAGCTCAAGGTGTGAAGGAATTGTCATCTTTAGTCATATAGGAACTGCTGCAGTGATCTATGTGTCTTTATAAATAGCTTTTGTCTTTTTCAAAGCAATATAGAGAATCTTGATTCAGCCATATTTAAGTGCTTTTTCAAATGGTGGGTTTTGTGAGTGCGAGTATGTGTATTTTTTAGTAATCCGTCAATTCCTTTCATGTTTTATGAATTATGGGTAAATGTGTAATGGTTCTCACTCTAGCCCCTCTGAATTTTAGCCTGACAAGCCAAGCTGTGCTTCTTAATTGATTGATCAAATGGATAAAGAAATGTTTCCTTAACGAAAGAAATAGCTCTTAATTCAATATTAGCTGTATTGATTAGAGTAAAAGTACAAATCATGCCTTCTTGTGGTGAATTTGTGAGGAATCAAGAGATAGGCTCATCTCTTCTTTTTTCTCTCTTAATTTTTTGTTCCTGGCTGCCTTAAAATCAACATAGCCAAGGGTGTGTTCTGTAATATATTGCTCATTATAGAGTCTTCTTATAGATGAATAAGTGTTGGTATAAATTTTGAATCATCTCTTTTTCCATTTGCTCCCAATGAGAAAACAGTGTCAGCAGTAAGAATTTTAAAACTTTGTCTTTAGGGGTTTTTTTTCTGAGTACAGAAGTTATATACATTCATGGTGATAATAATAATAATAATAATAATAATAATAAAACAAAAAACTGGGCGCCTGGGTGGCTCAGTGGGTTAAGCCTCTGCCTTCAGCTCAGGTCATGATCTCAGGGTCCTGGGATCGAGTCCCACATCAGGCTCTCTGCTCTGCAGGGAGCCTGCTTCCTCCTCTCTCTCTCTCTCTCTCTCTCTCTGCCTGCCTCTCTGCCTACTTGTGATCTCTGTCTGTCAAATAAATAAATAAAATCTTTAAAAAAAAAAAATAAATAAAACAAAAAACTAAGGCCAAAAGAAACAGAAAAGTGAGATAAAGAAAATAAGTTTTCTGTAATCATATTAAAATGAGGTAACCTGATTTTAATTTGAATATATTTATATAATAAAAGTTATATAATTCTACATATACCAATTGTAATATTAACATATACTTAACATATACTGGACTTTCATCTAAGTCATTGCATATTCTTCTAGATACTATATTTAATGCTTGCAAAATATTCTATTGAAGAATTTGCCATAATAAATGTAATCAAACACTTATTCCTAGACACTTAGATTGTTTTCCAACTGTTTCCTTTTATAAAACAACAGTGAATGTCCCTAACACTCATCTTACTTCACATCTATCTTTATTTTCTGTAAGTAAAATTTCCAGGTCAAAGATTATGACTATTTGTGTGGCTTTTAATATACATTGACAAATTACCATCTAGAAAGTTGTCCCAAATTACATAAACACCAGTATCATAAGAGGCCTAGTTTTCTGAACACCCCATCATTCATTGAATATTATCTTCCTTTCAAACCACATTTGCCTAATTTGATGGATGAAAAATGATCTCATGTTTTGATTTGCATCTTTTTCATCCTTTGAGAGTAAATAGTTGTTCAAGCATTTATTGACCATTTTCGTTTTTTCTTGAGTGAATAATCCATTCTGGTCCTTAGCACATTTGGGGTGGGAAACAATCATTTTTGTTTCTTATTGATTATTAGAAGCTCTTTTTTTATATATTGTTGGTATTAACATTTGATCTTATCCATACTGTAGATTTTCTGCAATCCTCTCCCATATGTCTTCCTTTTTAATTTTGTTTACAGTATTTAAAAACACGGACAGATTATTGAAAAGGTCATGTTCTAATAAAACAGAAAACTAGGGTGGGTAGGGGAGAGAAAAATGTCTACTTGATTTTTGTCCTTTGTTCCTGACCACATGAAACTATGTACTTATTTTTATTTCGAAAGGTTATGAGTCTAAGCTTGTGTCACCATGACAGAAAAAATTATAGAAAGCAGAATATTCATTCATCCAGTTTTTTTATCTGCATGATGCCAAATGCCTGGTTTGATTTGGATTTAATGAGGTGATTATTCCAAAATCTTGTGCTAATACAGTGATAGTTACAGTTCATCTTTCACCCACAAGAGGGCAATGAAAACCAGATAATATTCTGCCTTAGAAAATAAGTAGAGGACAGACTGGAAGAGCTGAAGGGGTGCCTAGAAATCATCCCTGTAGTTTCCCTCTCCCTTATTTTATAGACTAGAAAACTGAATTCTGGGGAGGTGAAATGACTTGTCCCAGGGCACAGAGTTGGCTAGTCAAGAGCTGAGTCCTAGGCATTTTCCAGTTTACCATACTGTGATTTACTATATTGTTAGTTACTTTGACACAATCTGTAAACACATACAGATGATCCTGACTTTAAATTGCTTTGACTTAGGATTTTTCAACTTTACACTAGTGCAAAAGAGACACATTCAGCAGAAGCCATTCTTTGAATTTTAATCTTTTCCCAAGCTAGCAATAGGTGATAGATACTCTCATGAGCTGGGCAGTGACAGCAACCAGGACTTTCAGTCAGCCATGAGATCATGATGGTGAACAACCCATACATTGACGACCATTCTGTACCCTACAACCATTCTGGTTTTCATGTTCAGTACTGTATTCAATAAATTACATGAGGTAATCTACACTTAGTTTATAATATGCTTAGTGTGAGATGATTTTGCCCAATTGTAGGTTGATGTTAAGTGTTCTGAGAACGTTTAAGGTAGGTTAGGCTAGGCTATGATGTTCTGTAGGTTAGGTGTTGTAAATGCATTTTCTTATGATATTTTCTATTTATGTTGGGTTTATCAGGACATAACCTCAGTATCAGTGGAGGGAGATCCGTACATTTTTTTTCTGATTTTTGAAAACTTTTTTGTCTTTTAAAGTAAGAGTTACATAACAACATTAAGCATTCTAAAGTATGTAATTTAGTGGCATTTAGTATATTGACAGTGTTGTAAACATGTACACTTTAATCTCCAAGATTCAAATCCCAGTCCTACCATGAAATAGGTGTGTTACCTTAGGCTAGTTACATAAACTTGCTGAGCTTCAGTTTCTTCAGCTGTGTAGGAAGAAACTGTCTTCTGTAACAGGTTTTTGTGAGGATCAGCAGAAATAATCTGTGCTTGGCACAGAGTACATAAAAAATTATTTTCTTCAAGATATTAATCCATTGCTCCCCATCAAATATTAGTATATTTATTTCACATTATGAATAAAAATAGATTCCAGAGTAGATTTTTTTCTCTTTTCATGACTATTACTGCATTGTTTACATTGAATTTTATTTTTTTATTTTTTATTTTTTGACAGAGATCACAAGTAGTCAGAGAGAAAGAGAGAGAGAGAGGAAGGGAATATGCTCCCTGCTGAGCAGAGAGCCTGATGCGGGGCTCAATCCCAGGACCCTGGTATCATGACCTGAGCTGAAGGCAGAGGTTTTAACCCATTGAGCCACCCAGGCACCCCTACACTGAATTTTAAATGGGCTCAGAGTTTAGTAATTAAAAATTATCAAAAATAACTTCACAGCACAGGTTATTGTGACATAGTTGGCAAAGGATTAT